TGGAGTTAAAAAAATAATAAAAAGTATATAGACATTTAAACAGCACAACACAACAAAATTTACAAAATGATTGAAACTTTAGCTAAAATTAAAATATAAAAATAAAACTTTCAAAATATTAATAACAACTATAAACTATAACTTGGTTATAGTCTTTATATCTGGCTGTATATAAATTCCGTACCCACTATATATATATATATATATATATATATACATATTTGTCGTCATCACAATTATTTACCTGCTTTTTCTTGGATGTGCTTTTTCTTGGATCACAAAATCTTGGATCGCAGCATCTAGCATTCAAAAGTTTGGGGTCAGTGAGATTTAATGTTAATTTTATTTATATTTATATTCAGCATTAAATTAATCAAAAGTGAGAGTAAAGACATTTATAATGTTGCAAAATATTTCTATTTCAAGTAAATGCTGCTATAGTTCATCAAAGAATCATAAACAATAAAATGTATCACAGTTTCCATTAAATTATTAAGCAGCACAATTGTTTTCAACATTTATAATAATAAGAAATGTTTCTTGTGCAGCAAATCAGCATTAGAAGGGTTTCTGAAGGTGATGCTGAAGACTGGAGTAATGACTGCTGAAAATGCAGCTTTGCATCACAGGAATAAGTTGCATCTAAAAATATATTCAAATAGAAAATAGTTATTTTAATTTTAATAATATTTCATAATATTATTGTTTTTACTGTGTTTTGAGCAATTAAATGCAGCTTTGGTGAGCATAAGATACTTCTTTCAAAATCATTTTCAAAATCTTAGCGACCCCAATCTTTTGAATGGTGGTGTACAAAATGAGTTTGCATCAGTCTGTCAAAAAATGTGATATGTGCCCTTTGTGATTTGTTTCTCCCCCAAAAAAATTTGTTCTTGCTTTATTATTGCAAGACATATTCTGAATTTGGGATTAACATTCTTACCAGTTACCAGCCATTGGCAAGTGTTATTATATATATATATATATATATATATATATATACTCGCCAAAGCCAGTTTTTACATGCATTTGGCATTTGTCGAGTGTTAATTCTGGAACCTGTCTGACACACAAACACTCTGTTCAGTGTCCAGACTCAGAGGCACAGGAGACACTATACACACTGTAATAAACACACTCAGACATGATAAATGCAAATGTATTCAGAGAAACACACACACACACAGAGAGAGAAAGATTCCCCTAGACACAGTGATGGCTGTTGAAAACTTCACTCTGTCTCTAGTGTAGAATGAATGACACTCTGATGGAGAGTTTCATCATAATGAGCCTTCATTAATTCTGCATTGCTGCTGGTCTCTTTGCTCTATGGACAGCAGCCAGCACAAGCCCTTACACCACTCATACCCTCGGGGACACACAAACACACACACACACTCATTTTGCATTCTGTCCTGTTTTAATGGATTTTTGATGCAAGATCGCTTTAAATGGACAGACTTCATCTTACAAATTATTTTCTGAAACTTAAGCCTCTCTGGTTTTTAAGCCTTTTGGCAGCTGTTAACAAAGCACATAAAAACAAATGAAACACTAAAGCATTTAGCTTCATTGGAAATGCATGAGAACTATACATGCCCAATGAGATTTTAGCTTTAAAAATATGGTCATCTTAAGAACTGACCTATTAGCCAGCAGTTTTAAAAATGTAACATTTTAAAATTCACAAGACTCAATCATGTCCACGGGGCATCTTAAGCCTTCTCTGGTCCAGGGCAAAGGCACCTCTCCTAAGTGTGTGATATTATGAATCATACTAGAGCTCATGCATATTGATTAGGTCAGCCTCTCATTTCTTGGTAACCTCCTAGCGCAACCCAGTAATGTGACCCAAGTAATATTCATGAGTCAGGCCTTTACCATATTAGGATCAGACTTGGCCAAAGGTTTTCACATGCCCAAAATGTTATACCAATAAAACCACAGCAAACTCAACAATGATAAACAAGCTGCTCACAGAAGTGTGATAGTGGTCATAGTGAATACCATAGTGAGTCCTTGAATGGATTTTTGTGATTTTTTTCACACAAAAATGAAAATTCTGTCATTTTTGAGTATCCCTTTTAAGTATGAACAATGATCAAATTCGAGATTGCATCTAAATCTACTACACTCTTAAAAATAAAAATTCCAAAAGGTGGTTTTCACAGCAGTGCCATAGAAGAACCATGTTTTGTTCCCCAAAGAACCTTTTGTGGTGTTGTGATTTATAAATAGATGCCACTAGATAGGTCAATAAAGAATCTTTATTTTTAAGAGTATACAATCACTATAACAACCACATAAACAGTCAAGCAAAGATCTCAATCAGTTCTTACCACTATCAAACAGGCTTTGACATCCACCATTACCAATGATTTTCAATGGCAAGTAGTAAAGCCTGCTTTAAAAGTTGCTAAATGATGTCATACGCTAATTAGCATATTCATGACATTATTGCATTTGTATTCTGCCTTCTGTCAACCTTTTACATTTTGCCTTTCTACTACTCTCTAAGCTCACATACTGTATTTTAATACAGCCAAATTCCCAATAAAACTGTTTTCATTTATATATTTTTCTCTTTCTGTTGTCAGACAACAGGATGAATAAGAAATAGTGACTGAAAAATGGCCCATTAAGACACATATCCAGCTCTCCCTTCCAAGCTGTTAATCTGCACTAAAATCCTGATTTATAATCGAGACGTCATGAAAATCAAATGCACATAAAGACAATGGATATGCTGTTTTTCAGCTATATTTACAATTTAAAATTATCACTCAGATTAGAAGCAACAGAATATATCTACAGTATATCAGCAGACGCAGAGAGAAGACCAGTACCGACAAGTTTGTCCAAGAAGTCATTCGATTTGTTTCTAGCTGCTTTTTTGGGGGGGAAAAAATCCCTAAAGGGGTCTGAAAAGTCACAAAATCTAGCAACTAAGCTGACAACACTGTTGACATCAACATCAAGAAGTTCAGTGTGTTTTGATTTATTAAAGTTGTCAGGCTGTTTAATAGCTCCAACTTTTAAAAAAAAATTCAATTCTTGTGGCATTTGAGACAGGTGAAGCTGAGATCATTTGTTCATTGCCAACATGGTGATCTGCAGAGCCTTTTTTTTTAATTGAAAGCTAGACCAAAATGTGTGATTTTTCCAATCCAAATAACTATTTTCAATGTGATTTCCTGATCCTGTGATCCCTCTGTGGTCAGTGTCCTGGGCTGCAACCCATGTCGCTGATTTGATTAACGCAGCGCTGGCAGAGCTACAAAGCTGTTCTGAGGACAGCAGTTTGAGACCTGATTTGGCAGTGAATGACATGGTGGTTTGTGATGTGTGCTGGCAGGTGGTGAAGGAGAGACTGCAGGACCTGCTGAACAGAGAGGAGGAGGAAGAGAGTCATGGAGAGGATGTGGTAAAAAATAAAAATAACTGCCTGCTAAGTTTCAAATCATTTATTTAGATATCACGAACCCAGTGCGTGGAGTTTTAAGAACATCTGTGTTTTTTCTCAGAGTACCTGTGATCCGGTGGTAAACCACTCGGAATCGATTAGCCACACAGTCAGTGTTCCCCTCCAGACCACCCTGGGCACCCTAGAGGAGATTGCCTGCTGAGCACCGTAACCCCTCCACACCAACAGGGGGGGCTGGGCCACTCCACTCCAATTGGTGAAGGACAGAGTAAGACGAGGGAAAAGTCTCTATTGCTTTTTCTCAACATGTCATCATTTGGCACAAACATGAGAACTAGAAGCCAAGGAGCTTCTCGAGGAACATGAGGACCATCTGTTTGTTCTGGACTCATGAAGGAAAGCAGAAGCTTGTGGACCTGTCGGGACAGTCACTTGTAAAAATAAGACAAACATGAAAACACGAACATGTGAGGAACTGCAGATGCGCACAGCCTCTTTCTTTCTCTCTCTGCCCAGACGCCATTTTGAAGTCTACTGCCAAAACACTGTAACTCAGGGGTGCCCAACCCTGCTCGTGGCGATTGACTGTCCTGCAAAGTTCAGCTCCAACCCTAATCAAATACACCTGAAGCAACTAATTAGGGTCTTCAGGATCACTTAAAAATTAAAGGCAGGTGTCTTTAGCCCTATTCGCACGACATTAGTATTACCTGGTGACCTCCAGACATTTGTAATAATTGTGGAGGTTGTATGTGATCTTAATCCCGTGCGAATCGGCAATGTCTGTAATTTGTAAAGTAAAAATTCCCCTGCAAATGACCTACCATATTTCGCCGAACACCGAGGTGCTGTGATAATATTAGTCATTAGTTTTTGTTTCCTGTGTGCCTTTTTATCCATCTTTCGCGAAGAATGGAGCTGCGTTGGAGTGTTTGATAGTATTTTGGGTGCTGTCATCATATCGCTACACCATACAATTTGCAGAAAGAGAAAGCTGAAAAGGTTTTGAGGTTAATGTGTTACAAATAAATCAAGCACAAAGCTTGAGATATTATTTTAACCTGGTGAAATGTAAATGACACAGCGCACGAAACTATATTATTTTTTTTATTTTTTTTAATCCATCTAACCGGACCATAGAACAGGACTCGCAAAGCCTTGACATCCGGGTATCCGGGAGATAAGTCAGTAAATTCGAGTAAAATCACAGGCTTCGCTTATCCCGTGCGAATGCACCACACAAAATTCAGATGTGGGGGGGTAATTTCAAAATCACACAAGGTCCCCAGATAATACTAATCCCATGCGAATAGGGCTTTTGATTAGAGTTGGAGCTAAACTTTGCAGGACAGTCGATCGCCAGGAGCAGGGTTGGGCACCCCTGCTGTAAATGATTAACAGAGAAAATGTTGTGAAACTGTTCTAACTGTGCATGTGTCAGTTTCATGCGTTACAATACGGTTTTCTCGAACCTGTCATCCCCTCTCACGTGTGGAGACAGTTTTGTCTTCTTGTGCTGTTTGTTTGCTATGTGTTTCTGCATCTCAATTGGTTTCTTGATGTATCAGGGATGCATCATAAAACTGAGAGCCCCTTTCTTCTATCCTTTTTATTTTTCTATCCTTCATAGAAAAGTCAAATGGGTCACGGTACAATGGCAGCCATTATGAGCCCATTGTGGCTGCGAATGGCTCTTCTACATGCTTTCTGGATCCCATTTGAAAAATGAAGAACAAAGAGAGTACAGAAAATAAGTGTTTTTGTCGCTTTCTGCATAAGAACATAGTGATACAACTAGCGGTTTTGTTACATGTGAGAGGTGTTAATTTGTCATTTAAAGCTGATATTAGAAAGCTGATACATTAGCACTTTTCAGAGATTTTTTTGACAGCAATCATAATTCCGCTTTCCCAACTATTGTAAGTGGGATATTTTCAAACATATAAAGGATTTAGAGGAGTTCATGGTGGTTTATTATGCGAGTTGTCGCTCTACTGTTGTCTATGTCTCATCTCCTCATTTTAGAGCACTTCATCTATGCTGGAGTTAATTAATGCTGTAATTGTCATATGTTAGCTGATATTTACTATGTTCCCACAGTGCTCTTTGATGATGGATTATAGACAGTTCAAAGGTGTGATTATGTTCTTTTCTGCTCTCGAACTAAATGTGAGGTTCTCGTATCACTATACATCAGTATGAATGAAACCTCAATTGACCCAATCATTCTTCAACATGTACAGTGTTTCAGCCAAAATTCATTAACTAAGGCCAAATCATTTGTGCAGAATGTGCTTAGGCTGAAAATAATGAAAGGAGGGTCAGTTCTGGGTGACGAGAGTGAGCTTGATTGTATTTCTCAATTTAACTCCCTTTAATATTCAGTTTAAGAATATTGACCGGCACAAAATTCAGTCACAACATGAAAAGCAAGAATCAGAGCTTGCGTGTTAAAACTGTAGGTGACACTTTTAAACAAACTGTTCTGGGACACGAAGGCCGCTGGCAGACAATTAACACCAGAAATTTGTTGAGAAGCTCCTCGAATCTACATATAAATGAAGGTATTTAATCTGGTTTAATAAGCCCAGGCTTTCACACGTGACCTAGGGCCCCGTTGACCAATCAGATTTGAGCTTAGAGGCAGTATGCGAATATCTATCATAAATATCCATGCTCAGAGATTTTTCTTAGAGGATTATTAGTAGTTATTATTTTCATGCCCCCTTCTGGAGCAACAATATTAAGAGCTGTGATTTGCGCCTATATCATAATGCGAAATTTATCAACAATAACATTAAAGGGGTCATATGATGCTGCTAAAAAGAACGCGGCAGCGGCAACAATACTACAGTGAGAATAAAAGTTACGCCTTCTTTCTTTGCGTGAACATTTGGGCGGTGTTATGCAAATCTTCCCACATAGTGAGGTAGATATGTGGGGGCGTGTTAGAGCAAGCCGTTTTAGGTAGGCGTGGTTAACTGTTAACTTTTATAAAGAATATCTCTTTGGATTTGAGACTTTAGTCTTTGCAACTTTACAGATCTTTTTTATGCACCAAGAGCTTGTAACACTCCAAAGAGAAAGGAAAAATTGAAATCGCATCATATGACCCCTTTAAGAGCGGAAACATTATAATTTGGCCACAAGGAATAGAACAATGAATGTGTGCTATGGGTTGTTTGTGGCATGTGAGAGAGCCATGTGATTGTGTTAATACAGACACATGTTGCTTAATGTGTTATATTTTATTCTATAAATATAGTAGGTAAAAAAATATCCAGTCTGAACAATTTTCTGATTTGCAAAGTATCTGTGACTGAATGTAAATGTTTTTAGTTGTTTTACTTGCTATTCAATTTGCTAATCAAATGTAATGGGCTGTAGAGGATGAATGTCTTATCCTTATTTGTGATGATTTCTTCTAAATATGTCAAAGATAAAGCTGTAAACCTCAGAGGGTTTCAAGCACATGCAGAGAAAAAAAATAACCAAACATGTACACACTACAAACGCAGAAACCCACAGCATCTGTCCATACTTACACAACAGTAAACTAAGAAGTTACTCATAATGTTAAACAGTAATTTTAGTAAACTCTTTCTTGCCATGCGGACAAACACCAAAGGGGTGTCACGTCACCTTTGCTATTTTCTCATTAGGAGAAACCTGAGGGGTTGATGGTTTCTAACTCCAATGTATAATTGCTCCAGTACCTCAGACCTTGAAAACAATAAAGGCTACATGGATTACAGCACCTGTGTCTTTGCCTCTGTCTGTCTGTCTGTCTGTCTATCTATCTATCTACATATATATATATATATATATATATATATTCTTTTTGTTCGTAATTTCAGGACCACTTTCGCAGCGATATCCACTGTTTCTAATCTAATTTGATTGAAATGTTTTTTCTTTTATACTCGCTGTCCCTTTATCATTTCTTGTTACTCGAGTACACTGTTGCTTTTTTATGCCTGTGTGCGTGAGCGCAGGCGAAGGCTACGCATGTCTGCCTAGGTTGTCAGAAACAAATGGAGAAATACAATTTTGACGGCATGTGATTATTCGTGCCTCTACGCAGTAAAGAAGAAACAGAGAAGCGAAGATGCAAGAAACTCAATTTCATTTAACAAAAACAAATTCATTTTTACACAGAGATACACATAAACAAACATCACGAAGAACAAAAGAGCTGTCTTTGAGCTCTGAGTGCGGGGGCTCTGCTATGCCATTTACTTATAAGAAAAACAAGCTAGCAGCTATAATCAGCTTAATTGTTACAGCTACATACGTAGTGCAGAAGTTAGTCACAAGGCTTTCACATTGCATAAGATGTTGCTGTTTATTGTCATCATTGCCAAATTTATTGTTTAAAAAAAGAAAGGTTTGTTTACTGATTTATGAATGCAAATGTTACCTTGCTGTCGTGATTGTGGTCCCAGGTTTTTTTTTTTATATATATATTAGCGTCAAATGTGGGTAAGATTAGGTATGATGAGACCATTTTTTCTCTTGGCCATAGATGGCACAAAATCTCATCTCAACACATTTAATGAATGCTATGTTCTTCTTGCCATTTCATCCAAATATCAACATTTGTGAGATTTAGTCAGATAGTTTAGAGGTTAATCTAATTTTGCGTGTTATAGCGTATGGTATACTATATTATGTTTAATATCAAAGGTTTTTGTGTCTATTTTTAATTAGAAATTTGTAGACATGTTTTTGGATTTGTGGAGTAAGATAAAAAAAAATATATAAAAAAAATAAACTAAAAGACATTTTTATTTTTAAAGGGGTCATATAATGCTACATGCACTTTTACAAGTTGTTTGAAAAGTGTGTTGGCTGAAATGTGTGTTGGCAGTGTGTGTACACAACCACGACGTGACGCACTGAAAGTTCTAATCACACCGGTGTGATCGTACGCTCCAGGGACCAGCCAAGACTGATCACACCGGTGTGATCGTACGCGTCAAAGGGTTAACGAACCTTTGCAAATCGCCTTTCCTAATAATGTGCTAATTAGCAAGTTTCACAATGAATGCAGAGCTCATTAACATTTAAAGTAAAATGCTAAAAATCTGCATGCTCTGAAAAGAGCTGTTTTTGAAAGGGTAAAAAAGGTGTTTTTTACACTACCATTGAGAAATTTTAACCAAACTTTGTTACAGACTTTTCATTAAGACCCTAAAGAATCATATCAACTTGTGGGAAATGGGCATCCTATGACCTCTTTAAGTGAAAAGGTAAAAATAGACCCTTGAGGTAAGATGCCATATCTTCATTTAAAAAATGGGCAATTGAATATGTATATATTCATACTTTTATTTAAGTCATGGAATAAATTTACTCCCTTTTACTGAGATTCTGCCTTGACTGTCATCAGTTATTAAATTATTCTATTTTATTGAAATGGTCAATACTATTTTAAATAGAATAGCTGATTTAGTATTTTATATTAATGACACTTTAATATATAAATATCCCCACTGCAGAGTAGAACAGGATATTATGAAATGATTGACTAAATATGTTGAAA